TGTTTTTGTTCTTATTTTTGGGACCTGTTATTGGCTTGTTGTCGGGCTAAGTATTTCATGTCGCACCACCCGCTCGATCATGGAGTCGAAAGAGTGGGGGATAAGACTTTGGCTGAAGAAGGCACTGTACTCAGGAGCAGCATTCTCTAAGACTATGGAGATCTTGGCTGGGTCTGTAAGTGGACATTCTATGACCCGCATTGCCGTCTTGCGGAATCGACCGATGAAATCCTTGAAGGATTCTTCGGGGTTTTGTTTAGTTATATTGAGTTCGCCCAGGGAGAGAGGTCTTGGTGTCGACCCGCGATAATGCAAGACGAATAGGTTGAACATTTCGTCTAGGGTGATGTGTGGTCGAGTGGACATTGTTCTTCGATGTCAGTTAAGAGCCTCACGGTCAATGTTTGTGAAAAGATGACCTTCAGTTGGTTAGGCCTATCTTGCAAAGCTCAAACGGAGAGGAGGTACACATTGATGTGAGTATCTAGATCGCTCTTCCCATTGAACTTGTTTCTAAATTCTGGGATGACAAATCCCAGGGGAAGGTCTTCCATGCCTCTAAGGGTCTCATGAACATAGGCTTTTGAGGGTAGAATTTCATGCATGCCCAATCTTACAAGCATATCCTGCATTGCTTTTAAGGTGCCTTCTTGTTAAGTATTTGGCATGGCAGTAGGCCCACTGGTTGTTGGGTTCCCAAGCGTAAACTGATAAGTTGAAACTTGGGGTATATGTTGGCCTGCATGGGCATAAGATTGATGAGCTGTAGTCACCGGGGCGGTTTGATACATTGGTGCCTGAGGGGTGTTCTGACCCATAGGTGTCGCCATCGGTTGCGGAAATTGCATGGGTTGTTGGACCGGATGAACAAAAGGGACCAATTGAAGAATCAGCTGACTCAGTTGTGCTAAGGGTTGACCTATACCACTAACTTGGTTTGGGATCGACCTGTAAGCTGAGGCATGAACAGTGTAACCTAGGTCAATTAGACTTTTGAGGGCAGCTTGGATGCCTATCTCACTCAAGGGTCGGTTTGAGTCGACACCTCTGCTTCGTACAGTGTTCAAGACATCAAGAGCTGTACTATGGTGGCTCGAGGTTGGGTTAGATCTTCTAGACCTAGGTAGGTCTTGGTTTTGAGATCGCTGCACCTGCGAGTTATCATGGTTTGAGTTACGGGAACTGGCTTTAGATGTTGCATGAATTCCTTCCCTCACTCGACTTCTACTTTGGTTGCCTAAAATCCCCTGTAGGACGACGCCTGGTCGGACTCCCTAACTATACAAGGTTTGTTGGGCGGAGCTGGCTTTTCGGGCCACACAGATATCAGGATTAGGAGTAGATGCTTGGGACTCTGCTTTTAATTGAAGACTTGAGCGTTGGATAATCGATTGTCCTGAGGTCTGTCGATAACTGCAGGGGATTGCAACATACTGGTCCCTAGGTTTGGGCAGGTTAGACTTAGAGTCGGTCGTGGAGCAGTCATCATGGTCGCCTTGAGTGACTGACATGGTGATTGCTTTTGGCTCGGTTCTAAAATCTAAACTTAGGTGAGATCTAAACTCGACAACTTAGGGCAAACCTAGCCTGACACCAGGGGCAAAAACCTTAGCTAAGACCTAGGCTAAGACTAAAATGGAACCTATACTTATTAGACTCAATGGATTTTGGTTAACATCCTGAACTAGGGTAAGCCTAGTCTAACTCTAGAGGCAACTCTTAAACTTAGACTTATGCTAGAACCTAGACTAGATGGTGCACGAATCTCGGCTTGAACCAAGAGTGGGTCTAGGTTTGGAGGGGTAAGCAACCCTAATGTATATATATATTTTTTATCTTTTTAATTTTGATGAAACACAATTAAACTAAGCATGGTGAAAGAAGGAAAAATATGATTTCAATCAAAATTAACAAACTAAAAGCAGAAACAGAACAGATCTATCTGAAACAAAAAATATATATATTTTTTTATATTTTTAGAAATTTTATTTTAGGTAAAAAATTGGTCAACAGGGAGCCAAAAGTCCTTGGAATGGTCATATGGGGTGGTCCCATAATTTTTCTGGGACAAGGGTCGCCCAGGCGACACTAGTGGTGTTGCCCTTGTAGGGTGGGCGACACGACTGGTGTCGCCCAAACAATTATTTTTTTATATTTTTATATTGTTAATCTTGATAAAATAAGACTACTTTAAACTAGGAAGAAGCAGAAAATAAAAATATTTATGATGAACTAAATTAGCATAAAGTAAAACAAAAAAGCTTAGATTGAACTGGAAATTTTTTTTTTTGTATTTTTAAAAATTTTATTTTGATCTGAATTTTTTTGCGCAGTCAGAAAAGAGTCCCTAGAATAGATCCACAAAGTTCTAAAGGTTTCTGAGACCTTTGAATTTGGGCAACACTGGGAGTTTTGCCTAGAAAAAGCAAGGATTCTGGTCACAGCCAACTTTTGGGACCTTTTGTGATTGAAAATAGTGAAAAAAAGTGAATAAAATTGTATTTTGAAGCTTGGATCAAGCTCGAAATAGCCCCACGGTGGGCGCCAAATTGTTTACGACGAAAATCTGACAGATCTTTCGATAAAGATCTCTCGAATTTTAACACATTAAACTAATTAAAAAGATGTAAATAAAGTGGTAGAGAAAGTGAGACAGATCGAATTCAGATTTTAGGCCAGATTTGTCCGGAAACAAGTAGATCTACTCTTAGATCTATGGTAGAGCTAGCATGATCCAGAGCATTAAAATACGATTTTGAAGACAAGTTAATAGATCAAAAATAAATAAAAGAAGCAAAACAATAAAAAAGAAGAAAGAGAGAGGAATAAATGATACCAAACCGGGCTGGATGCCCCGAGATTCCCGAGCCTTCGAGGGCCTGCCCATATCAGAACAGGTCCTCTTTGCCTCTCTAATTCGGATATTGACCAACAGATCTCTGGTGTAAAGGGTTAGATCTAGGGTTATTGTGCCATAATTCTTGTTTTGATCTAGGGTTTTTATACCCTAGGTCTAGGTTTTCTCAGTCTTGGGGGTTAGGACTTCAGGAGGCTAGGGTTTCTATTTTCTTTAAGATTTTCAATCTAAATATTTTTCTAAAGTTGTCGGTCTTTCTCGGGGTTTGAAGGAGAATTTCCTTAGTTTTCTAAGGGTTTTATGATATTCAGAGGTTGAATATGAATTCTGAGATTTTCTCTAATTTTTTAAAATTTTGGGGATTTTTCCTAAACTTTTAAGAATTTTCTAAGGGTTTTTCCTATTTTTTTGTATTTTTGGGTAATTTTTCTAATTTCGAGAAGTTCTGAGGCTTTTTTGGTCTCTTCTCTTTTTTTTGGATTAGGGAGAGTGGGTATCTATAAGATTCAATTGGTAATTTTTCTTAAATTATTTGGAGGTTTTTCTAAATCTTTTGAATTTATCTTGAAGTTTTAGCCTTATCTAATTAAAAAAAACACGTTTACTGCATCATCAGATGTGTTGACTGCATCATCAACCCATGTCTAGGCCTGTCCGGCCCATTATAGCCTGGCCTGTGGCTCGACAGTAGGGTCTCCTAGGAATTAAATTGTCATTTGTTATATCTTTATCCGTAGGTCCGATTCAGATGATTCTTGGACCGTTGGAAAGCTATTGGGCTCTACTTCAAATTGAGATAGGATTTGGGTAGTTTTGGGGTAATTAAATTGGATATATTAGGATAATGTGGTCATAAGGGTTAAAAAAACCATAGAATTTGCCAAATTTAAAATGGGGTATCTACAAACTTATTAAAAACTTTTTTCATATATAAAATCATCTTCGTCATCATCATAACCTTTTCCTAAGTAATTGGGGTCGGCAACATGAATCCTGGTCCATCGTTCTGTTAGTTTAAGGCCATACCCTCAGTGAGGCGATAAGTCCCTATATCTTTTTGGGCCTACCATTTACACTTTTCAATCCTTCAATTTGAAGTAGCTCGTACCTCCTAATAGGTGTTACACTGGGTCGACATCACATATGGCCAGCCTACCTAAGTCTATTCTCTTTCATGTTATCAACTATTGGTGCCACATCTAAACTTTCCCGAATGGATTCATGTCGGATTCTATAACTTCTTGTTTTGCCACTCATCCATCTCAACATCCTCATATCTACTACACTCATTTTATGAGGATATTATTTTTTGTCCGTCCAACATTTCGTCCCATAAAGCAAAGTTGGTATCACAGTTGTCCTATAAAACTTTGCCCTTCAGCTTCACAGGTATGCAACGGTCACATAAAATTCCAGTTCAACATCTCCATTTTACCCACCCAGCTCTAATTCTATGTGCGACATCTTCCTCAATTTCTTTATTTCCCTATAGTTGTTTAATATATTTATAGATAAAATATTAAAGAAAAAGTTTATATAAGGGTGGAACCTTACAGTGTAGAAGTAAGGTGCACCTTAAAATCTAGTAAAAAATAGGGTTCAGTTGGACAACTTATCAATTGATCATCTTGATGTCAAGATGTACGATATAGACAAAAAAGATAGTCCATCTCATAAAAAGTTATCTGGAACGTCCTTTTTTTATTATTTTTAATGTGTTTATAGGTATGCTCAATCATCATTATTTTTAGAATTTCAAATTGAAAAAAGTTTATATAAAGTTGCAACTTTAAAATGTAGAATCAAAGATGCATATAAAAAAGCCATCGGAAAATATTGTTTTAATGTTTTAAAACCCTCTAATGTATGAATATTAAAAAAAATAAAATTGATTCCCAAAAATAGTGCATCTTATAATATATTATTTAGACACTCCATTTTCAACATTTTAATATGTTTGTAGCTCTACTTGATTTTAATCAATTTTAGGATTTAAAATTTTATAATCAAATATGAAAATAGATTTTCAGATAATTTTAAAAAAAATTTACACTAAAATTACATTCTAAAATTGAGAGGTAATTGGATTGTTTAAAGTTGCGACCTTATAAAAACCCACACCCATAGCATGAGGTGGGCACCTTATACAAATCTCATCCAGTATTGTAAGATGATGAATCGGAGGGCTTTCCAACGCTAAATAAAACACTTTCTTATGTAGCATTTTTTCCTTGTGATTTTTGATGCTAATGGAATGGGTTCCTTATCGGTGCCATGGAAGCAACTCCTCTTGACTGCACTCGAAACCAACGCTCACCTCAAATACTCTTCCTTTTTCCAGCTCGTAATCTCTCTCTCTGTATATCTCTATTTGTTTATCTCAGTCTCACTTTTTTAATTTTTGGGTTTCCGGTTTATATGTTACTTGTTCTCTATCTTAATTTTTGGATTTGGGTTTTCCTATTTTTTTCCTTTTTTGTGATTTTTGTTCTCTCTACCTCGATTTTTGGATGTTGGGTTGATTTTTTATTGTCCTCTCTCTTAAATTTTTGGGTTTATTTGTTCTTCTTCCTCTCATTTTTGGACTTTAGTTTTACTGGTGATCTCTCTCTATCTCAATTCTTAGTTTTTGGGTTTATTTGTTATATTATGTTTAATGGGAAATTGCAGGCTACAGTCCGCCCAAATGGTAAACCTGCTAATCGCACTGTAGTTTTCAGGTGCCCAAATTTCTATTTTCTTCGCATTTTCGTATACAATTTTATTGCATTTGTATTGTGTCTCTAATTTTTTTGGTTTCATCATTGTCTTCGTATTTATTTATTTATTCGATCGTTGGTTATCTTGTTGGTTATCTTGTTAATTATTTGTAGAGGATTTCAAGAAGGCTCAGATAAAATCCAAATCAACACTGATTCTCGAAGCCACAAGGTAATTTATTATTTCTAATTACAAATAATGTGATTTCTATTCTTCTGTTTAGGAGTTTTTTTTTCCCCCTCCCCTTAGGTATAACGATTTAGTTATCTATTATTCTTTTGAATTGAAATTGGGGTTCTTTATGTGGTATTTTACACAGATTGAAGATATCAAACACTGTCCTTTTGGTGAGGTAATTGGTTTCTGAGGTGTAAAATTGTTTTATCTTTTTAGTTTATAACAAAAAATATTATAAAATGGACATGGAAATATGAGCACCCATGTTGAGAAATCTTTTGATACTTCACATTTTCAGGAAATTTTATCTTTCCTGCTTCCAGTTTTGAACATTCATAAACAATCGCATTGGCACATAGAAAGTACTCCACAGTTTCTAATATCTTTGGGGTGGAAAATAAGGTGGAGATTATGGACTTCATTACCTCATTTTTTCTCTCTCTAGACTCATTATCTCTGTGACTATTCTCTTAGCACTCAGTTTTTGGATTTGTATTTCTTGCATTTCTCACTCTTTAGTCTGTTTGAACTTTCAAGGCATCTAACACTATCGATACACTTTAGTAGCAATTTCATGAGTTGAACACATGTTTTTCTCTATCTCTGTGACTATTCTCTTAGCACTCAGTTTTTTGGATTTGTATTTCTTGCATTTCTCACTCTTTAGTCTGTTTGAACTTTCAAGGCATGCAACACTATCGATACACTTTAGTAGCAATCTCATGAGTCGAACACATGTTTTTCTCTATGGATTCTAACTCTTAGTTTTTAGACTAGGAGAAACATGGAGTCTGGCCAATATGTTGTTTCTAAGCTGTAAAACGTGAATTGATTAACTGGGTATCTCATAAAAATTTAGAAAGTGCGCATAGATAAGGTGGGGGTGCACGTGAGTTTTAGTAGGATTGGTGATATGGTTGATTTTAATATTGGGCAAAGGGATTTAGGTTTCTTATGTTGATGGATTTGAGAGATTTACCTAGATATTTATAAGAGATTTAGATAGAGATGATTTACAGGGAAGATAAAGATGGACAAATATGGTGTGTAATTTTTAAGAGAGCTAATATTTTCATGAGAGAGAAAATAGGGAGAGAGATCTAGAGAGATGATATTTTCATGAGAGGGAAAATAGGAAGAGAGATTGTGCGTGAGAGGGAAAATAGGGAGGGAGAAGAAAAACGTGGGAGAGAGAATTTATTTTATTTGGGGTTTTTTTAGTTATTTATTTTATTTGAAGTGTATTTAAAGGTAAGAGGCAGATCAAAGAATGAGAGTTGAATAAAGTGGGTCTTGTGATAAGATCTTTTTGGGAATCAAAGAATGAGAGTTGATTTAAGTGGGTCTTGTGATAAGATCTTTTTGGGATGGATTCCTTGTAGACTTTGTTTTTGGGTGGATTCCTTGTAGACTTTGTTTTTGGGTGGATTCCTTGCAGAACTTGTTTTTGGGGTATTTTCTCTCAATGATTTTCTTTATTTTATTTTTATTATTCCAGTTTTATTTTCTGGTCTTGTGATAAGATCTTTTTGGGAATGTGATAAGATCTTTTTGGGATGGATTCCTCGTAGACTTTGTTTTTGGGTGGATTCCTTGTAGACTTTGTTTTTGGGTGGATTCCTTGTAGAACTTGTTTTTGGGGTATATTCTCTCAATGATTTTCTTCATTTTATTTTTATTGTTCCAATTTTATTTTCTCCCTGCATCAGTATCCTCATAAGGTTTGTGATGGGGAAATTGCCAAATTTGATCTCTGCTCTTTTTTTACACTAGACCCATGCATATCAAATACTTTAGGCTCCTGGCATAAAGATAAAGGTCTATATCATTCAAAGGAGTTCACTTTCAGTTTACTTGGAGCTTGTAGATTTGCTGGTATTTTACTGATTCTTGGGAGCAGTTTCGAATCGAGGGAAGAATTGATATTATTGATGGCTTGAACTCTGAGCTAGAAAAGCTTCAAGTAATAGTCCCTCAACTTCTTGCTTGATGTTTATAATATATGCAATCTTTCGTTTTCTTTTTTGTTGAGGATATGGTTGTTTTGCTGTGGTTAGGGGGATTGATACTTGTTTTTTATTTTTGAGGCATGGATTGATACTTGTTGTAGTGCTTTATAACATAAACTTGGTGTGAGGAAGTCTAACTTTGAAAAATAAAGCAATCTTGTGTGACTGGAAAAAACTATATCGAGACTACATCAGAAACAATGTTAAAAAATGCGGATTTAGGTGATTAGGCATTTGGGTGCCTGACCGCCTAGGCCTCTCCCTTGAGACAGGGTGCCCTCAGCAAAATTGAACCCCCCAAACAAAAAAAACAGGGGAGTCTTTGGGAGTTGTTAGGGTAATTTTAGAGCCCCAAACTCCTCGTGAAATAGGCGAAAATGTAATAGTACAATCCAATAACAGATTTACGGATACAAGCCTCAAAGAGATTGTAACTTGTAAGACACTAAAATGCTTGATATCCCAAATATCATTGTAGGAAACTAGAAGTCTAGCCTAGAAACGATACACAAAGTCAATAAGGCAAAATCAAAAAGTAAATAGATCACATCATCAACCAAACATGTAAATATATCATAAAGAAAAAAAAGGTAAAAGAAAAAACACATGATTCGCAACATAATATGTTGTAGTAAAATAAAATCAAAACCCTCTTTCGAATATGATAATACTTTAAAAATATCAAAGTCAAATCGATGTCGGTGCAAACTTCGTCTATTGGGTCCCCAAAAGTCCTCAAAATCAACTACTAGAAATGAATATGCCATAAACCATGCTATGTTATTTTTACCAGTTAACATATGCCCTTCAGGCATCTTATTTTGTGGACTGCAGAATTTTTTTGTCATGTTAACTGGTAAGAATGGAACCCATAACATCACATTGTGGCCCTGCTGTGCTGACCACCCAAGCCAAGGGTCTTCCTGTGAGCTATGCTGTTGGTGGGAAGTCTTGAAGTTCCTACTAAGCATTTTGACTAGTTGATAGCATTGAGGGTATTTCTAACTTTCTCTCATTGATGTAATGACATATTTTTAGTGTCTTTACGTGCACTTACATGATGCATGAACTTTCTTGTTTTTATCTACCATTAATTCCTGAGGTTAAAGAGGTATGCGTCAAATTGCATTCTATGAGTATGGAGAAGCAAAGATGTGCGCATCAAAACAAAGATGAGACAGAGAAGAGAGAAAAGGAAACAATAAAAGGGGAAGGTGTGCATAGCTATGTTAGTAAAAATGGAGGCTCTAATATGAGAGACTTAGAGCCCACCCCTTTGTAACTTACCATAATGATTTCAAAAGAGGCCCCCTCCCTCTTGATTTTAATTTAAATTTAAAAGGTGTATTCTAACAAATTTTTTGGGATTATCGGATTTATCTCATTGCCCTATTCAACTATTTAAATTTGAACAAATATGCGATGGTTATGTACATCTTAAACATGGTAACGATTTTTGACACCAAGGTTTTCGTGCCACCTAGCAATACATGCCTTCAAAGATGAGAAGGCTGGGCATGTCACAAAAGTATTTGCAAGTACCACCTAATTGTGTGGTCTTTGAAGTTAAATTTTTTTTCCTTTTTAATATGGGTATTAGTTGTTTCAGATTGGTTATAATTTCAGATTTTTACAATAGTTGATCCTTGACAAAATTTAGTTTCTTCTTAATTAAAAGTGAAGTGGAGCTGCAACCCCAAGGAGACCCAACTTTGGTTGCAATTGGCATCCTCGTTTTGCAGTGATTCTTGAAAGCGGCCTTTTACCTTATTCAAATAAGAATTTAAAAAACCTGCGGGCGACCGAACTGGAAATCCATCAGTTCCCAATCGACCTGGTGAACCGGTCGACTTGAATCGGCATGGCCTGTTCTACCACACTCAGATGGAAACTTTTGTTTTGAAAAATATAAAAAAAATAAAAATCACAATAAGTTGATTTGTGAAAAAAACTGACAAATAGGTCACATATTTTGGTGAAATTATCAAAGAAGTGTGAATAACGGGAGTCTAGTTCATATCTGAGTCTAGTTTAATATATAATTAAGTCTTAAAATATTATCAAATAATTAGAAAATATATGTTTAAAGTTAAAACTTTAACTAGATATATTAAACATTATATCTATTATATCTGATATAGAAGATGAAATTATCAAAGAAGTGTGAATAGGTAGTCGAGTTTAATATATATAGTTATGTCTTAAAATATTATCAGATAATTAGAAAATATATGTTTAAAGTTATAACTTTAACTATATATATTAAACATTATATCTGATATAGAAAATATTAGATATATAGATTAAACTTTCTATATTTTCTGCTAATATAGAAATATTTGTTGTGTGTATATATATATATATATATATATATATATTTTATTGGTTAGTAATTGAAGATTTTCTTGTTCATTTTGAACGAGTAGACTCTGCTCTACTGTTTTAATGGCATATCCAATTTTTAGATTAAAGTTTCATTTTTTATATACGTATGTTATTGGTACCTTGGGTATGTTCCAGTTTTGAATCTGTTGTTCAACATTTTCTATAACTACTTCTTCTTTATTTTTTACCCTTAAGAGTATTTTTAGAAGATGATAGTGTTTTATTAGATAAGGTTTTAATAAAATTCTCCATTTATCGGTACGGATAATGACTCTAGTCAACCTCTTACGTCTTGAACAACCTGAACGGCTCTCCTTGGCCGAAATGGTCTTATCGACTGGGCGGCAATGAGTGTTAACTCTCGGACTACCGTATAAATGATTAATTTTATTATAATCTTATCTCATAAATACTATAATCAGCTAAACATAGTCTAACAATAAAATTTTAAGAATTTCTAATGGCTCTGATACCAAAGTGAACCAAGATCTAAAACTTTTCTTAATTTCTTAAAATTCTTAATTTCTAATTTTATCTTAATATCATAGAGAACATAGTGCTATAATTTAACAATGATCTAAACAGAGACAAGTAGTATAAAAAGGCAAAGAGAATGATAATAAAAGCAATAACAGAGACAAGTAGTATAAAAGGGCAAAGAGAATGATAATAAAAGCAATAACAGAGATATCTACTACTATCCAAGTAGTATATGTATTATTTAATACTTTAGTGCTAAATATTAATTTAAACTGCATGACAATAATATAAACAATTTTATTGAAACAGATAGTATAGATACAAATTTAAACAAAGTATTGTAAACAGTACAGCAAACAGATACAAAATACTGACGGTGCAGAAACTTGAAAAGTGTTGCCATTCGTCCGGACAGAACGATGGTAATTTATGTATATTACAGTCACACATAGAAAATAAAGACTAACGGAAAGATCTTACTTGTGAAAGGCTTGCCTGGAAGATTTGTAGGGATCGGGTAGATAGGCTAGAGAGCACTGAAGCTTTAGAGAGAGAGAGAACAGGCAAAGCTCTTCAGAGCAAAGAGAGAGAGAGGGTGAGAATTCCGATGATTCAAATGAAGGAGAGGAGAAGTATTTATAGGCAGGATTGAGTGATCAAGTAAGTCGAGCTGGCGTTCTGAAGATTGGACGTAAAGCAGAGATAGGATAGAAAGGAATCTTATTGGTGGAGTTGTGAGCTGTCATCACACTCGTAGAGGTAAGCTGGCAAGTTGGATATGACAGAAAGGGTATGGTGAGCTGACATTGCACTCACAGAGGTCAGCTGGCGAAGTGGATAAGAAATAAGGGAATCTTTAAAGTCAGATGTGACTTCAAGATAAAGACATGACACGACTTGACGCGAATAAAAGAAAAAGTAAAAGTTACTTTTGTACATGACACAACTTAAAGAAAAAGTAAAATATCTTCTGTCGGCCATATAGTACGGAAGGCATCTTTTGTCGTACGGCGGATGCCATCTGGCGACTTCTTTTTTGTCCTTTTATAGATTTGTCTGGATGTTCAATTGTAAAATCGAAAGAAGATAAAATTGCTTGCCAACGAGCAAAGATTTGTTTCGACACAAGATTTTGAACATCCTTTTGCAAAATATCTCGGGCTGATTTACAATCAGTTCTAATAAGAAATGAAGTATTAATAATATTACTTTGAAATTTATTTACACAATGAACAATAGCTAAAATTTCTGTTTTAATTGTGGAATAGTTTTGTTATGTAGAATTCCATGCTTTAGATGTATAGCGTACTAATTGTTCTTTATTTTCTAGTTTTTGTTTAAGGATTCCTCCTAAACCAAGTTCGAAGGCATCGCATTCAATAATTTTAGAAGCATTAGGGTCTGATAAGTCTAAACAAGGTAATTCTTTTGATTAGCTTTTAAGAATTCAAATAGCATTAGTATGCTGATCCGTCCATTTTGGAGGATTCTTTTTTAAGCGATCATATAATGGTTTAGCAATGATAGCAAAATCTTTTATAAAATCAGAAATATAATTTAGGCGTCTTAGAAATCGTTGCAATTCAACTTTATTAAGAATAATATCAGGAAATTTGGTGGAAAATTCAATGGCTCGATCAATGGGAATAGTCGTCCCTTGGAATATATTATGACCTAAAAATCTGATTTTAGTTTGGCAGAGATTCATTTTCTTTGCAAAAACTACAAGTCCTGCATTTTTTACAGTATTGAGAAAAATATTTAGATGTTTAAAGTGTTGATGAATATCAGTTGAAAAAATTACAACATCATCAATATAAACTAGCATATATGTCATATAAGGGTTAAAAACTTCATTCATAATTTTTTGGAATTCAGATGGTGCATTCTTTAGACCGAATGGCATTACATTCCATTCGTATTGACCAAATGGAACATTGAAGGCTGTTTTATAGCGATCTTTTTCATTTATTTATATTTGCCAGTAACCTGATTTACGATCAAATTTTGAAAAATTGCAAGCATTTACTAACCTATCTAATAAATCTTTTTTATTAGGGATAGGATATCTGATCCATTTGAGGACTTT